GTGTGTGTGTGTGTGTGTGTGTGCGTGCACATGCTGGGTTGGGTCTGAAAGCAGAAAGTGTGTGTGTGTGTGTGTGTGTGTGTGTGTGTGCATGCACATGCTGGGTTGGGTCTGAAAGCAGAAAGTGTGTGTGTGTGTGCACACACCTGTGTACATGCTGGGTTGGGTCTGAAAGCAGAAAGTGTGTGTGTTTGTGTGTGTGTGTGCGCATGCACATGCTGGGTTGGGTCTGAAAGCAGAGAGTGTGTGTGTGTGTGTGTGTGTGTGCACGTGCACATGCTGGGGTTGGGTCTGAAGGCAGAAAGTGTGTGTGTGTGTGTGCACATGCTGGGTTGGGTCTGAAAGCAGAAAGTGTGTGTGTGTGTGTGTGTGTGCGTGTGCGCGTGCACATGCTGGGTTGGGTCTGAAAACAGAAAGTGTGTGTGTGTGTGTGTGTGTGTGTGTGTGCGTGCGCGCGTGCACATGCTGGGTTGGGTCTGAAAGCAGAAAGTGTGTGTTTGTGTGTGTGTGTGTGCGCATGCACATGCTGGGTTGGGTCTGAAAGCAGAGAGTGTGTGTGTGTGTGTGTGTGTGTGTGCGCGTGCACATGCTGGGGTTGGGTCTGAAAGCAGAAAGTGTGTGTGTGTGTGTGTGTGTGCGCGCGTGCACATGCTGGGTTGGGTCTGAAAGCAGAAAGTGTGTGTGTGTGTGTGTGTGTGTGCACGCGCGTGCACATACTGGGTTGGGTCTGAAAGCAGAAAGTGTGTGTGTGTGTGTGTGTGCGTGCGCGCGTGCACATGCTGGGTTGGGTCTAAGAGCAGAAAGTGTGTGTGTGTGTGTGCGTGTGTACACATGCGGGGTTGGGTCTGAAAGCAGAAAGTGTGTGTGTATGTGTGCGTGCGTGCACATGCTGGGTTGGGTCTGAAAGCAGAGGGGTTAGGTGTGCTTGTGCCTCTACTTTTGGTGCACAGAAAAGAGCGTTCGAATGGTGCACTGTTGGTGCCTCATTTTTTACTGCAGAAATATGACATGCTTAATATAGGATGTGTGTTGTAAAATTTTACTGTGTGAGAACAGATCAGCATACAATTAAGAATTTTCAAGAAGAACTCACTTAACTTAGAGACTTTTAGTTTGTTTATGGATCTTAAATTTTGTGTGCCACGGTAAACTAAAAAGAAACCTAACAATAACAATGTAGTCACTAATTACTATCACGTTGCTGGGGTGCATATACCTGCATTGTTTTGTATATAAACAGTATATTCCAAGGGAAAAATTCAGTACTCATGTTTCCTTCCAGATCAATTAAACCAGAATTTCTGGAGGTGGAACCCAAGGTATTGGTAACTTTTAAAACTCCCTTGGTGATTCTAAAGTGCAGCCAAGTTTGAAAGCCACCAATGTTAAAGGAACTCAGGAATATTTGTTGGATTGATGGTTGGATGGATGAATGACAGAAGGATAAAAGGACACTGTGAATCAGAAATCTGAGGCTCTAGTTCCAGCACTGCCAATAATGTGCTATGTATCCTAAATTGTGTCACTCTTTTTCTAAACACCCATAGCTACCTTCCAAGTTCCTGCTCCAAGACTTCACAATTCCCCTTCTCGGTTACAGCAAGGGCCCTAGAGTGGAAAAGTTGCGAGAAACATGAGGACAGCATGTTTGAGGCTTTACAAAAATGTGCTCAGAATAAAGAGGACCCTAACAGAAAGCTCTTCACCATGGCAACCTTTTACCTAGAAAAGGGAAGCATTTACAAGGTTCCTGAGAATCTCACACTTAGAAGAACATCACACATCTCTGTACTGGATGTGCAGAGGAGGGACAAACTGATCCCTAATCCCCAAATATCCCAGTTTGGAAGTAAAATGTGTGTATGGGTACCCTGAGCCAGAAGGGGAGAGATGCATTTATCTGAGTCCCCACAAACCTCCTTCTGACATAAGTCTGTTTGAGGCCTTCTCCACGGTAAACATGAGCTGCTCAAACTTTCCTGACTACTGTCTTGGCTGACGTGCTGAATCTTTGGAAAAAAGGTGGGGGTGGGGGGCACACTGCCACCCTGACTCTGCTACTGTTAGTCTACACAGACAGCAAAACTGTATGGTTTCCTACTGGGAAAGATAGCTGCTCATGTTTATTTAAAGCATGACAAAGGCATTTACAGCAGGGAACTCCTGTGTGGCCTACCTGATTCCTATTATTCTTCAGGTCCTATTCCCCAGGCTGCTTTAAATACAGCTTTCTGCTGTGGGAGTTAGCGCTATATGTCCCTTGGCGTCATTCAACAGTGGGTACAAATTATCCACCTTTAGTCCCCCTCATCATATGCCATGTCAGGGAAGGACAGTTTTAAGCCTACAAAAATAACTCACACGCTAGTAAAGTAATGCTCAAAATTCTCCAAGACAGGCTTCAACAGTACATGAACCATGAACTTCCAGATGTTCAAGCTGGTTTTAGAAAAGGCAGAGGAATCAGAGATCAAATTGCCAACATCCTCTGGAGCATCAAAAAAGCAAGAGAGTTAAAGAAAAACATATATTTCTGCTTTATTGACTATGCCAAAACCTTTGACTGTGTGGATCACCACAAACTGTGGATAATTCTGAAGGAGATGGGAATACCAGACTACCTGACCTGCCTCTTGAGAAATCTGTATGCAGGTGAAGAAGCAACAGTTAGAACTGGACATGGAACAACAGATTGGTTCCAAATAGGAAAAGGAGTACGTCAAAGCTGTATATAGTCACCCTGATTATTTAACTTATATGCAGAGTACATCATGAGAAACGCTGGGCTGGATGAAGCACAAGCTGGAATCAAGATTGCTGGGAGAAACATCAATAACCTCAGATATGCAGATAACACCACCCTTATGGCAGAAAGCAAAGAACTAAACAGCTTCTTGGTGAGAGTGAACGAGGAGGATGGAAAAGTTGGGTTAAAACTCAACATTCAGAAAATGAAGATCATGGCATCTAGTCCCATCACTTCATGGCAAATAGATGGGGAAACAATGGAAACAGTGACAGACTTTATTTTGGGGGGCTCCAAAATCATCACAGATGGTGACTGCAGCCATGAAATTAAAAGATGCTTGCTCCTTGGAAGAAAAGTTATGACCAACCTAGACAGCATATTAAAAAGCGGAGACATTACTTTGCCAACAAAGGTCTGTCTAGTCAAGGCTATGGTTTTTCCAGTAGTCATGTATGGATGTGAGAGTTGGACTATAAAGAAAGCTGAGCACAGAATTGATGCTTTTGAACAGTGGTGTTGGAGAAGACCCTTGGGAGTCGCTTGGACTGCAAGGAGATCCAACCAGTCCATCCTGAAGGAGATCAGTCCTGGGTGTTCATTGGAAGGACTGATGCTGAATCTGAAACCCCAATCCTTTGGCCACCTGATGCGAAGAACTGGCTCATTGGAAAACACCCTGATGCTGGGAAAGATTGAAAATAAGTGGAGAAGGGGACGACAGAGGATGAGATGGTTGGATGGCATCACCGACTCAACGGACATGAGTTTGAGTAACCTCCGGGAGTTGGTGATGGACAGGGAGGCCTGGCCTGCTGCAGTCTATGGTGCTGCAAGGAGTCGGACATGACTGAACTGAACTGAACTGAAGAAGTTATGAGAGTGGGCACCTTAGACATTGTTTCCCTGGCTTCACAGTGGATAAGAGTAAACTGCCACACAACACAGGGAAGACTGGTCTCATACCATAATTTGCATATTCAAATTTCTCTACTGCTAAATATCGTTATCAATATTTACTAAGTATATTTTAAAAGGAAATGATCGTTCATACGATGCTTCCAACCTCTTGTAAACTCTGGTTCCAGAGAAATCTCTCCTCTGTCAAGAAAACGCCCGGGAGGAGTGCAAAAGTCGCAGAGAATTTCTTCAAGGCAAACATTAACTATATTGTAAAGTAATTAGCCTCCAACTAATAAAAATAAATGAAAAAGAAACATTAACTGAGTACCTGCTTTTTAAGATGCTAGGGATGCAGTGAGGAACACACACACACACAAGCTCTTTGAGTTCAAGGGACACACAACCTCACAGTCCTCACTCGGCCCCTCCCACCCAACGCACTCACAGAGGAAACTTTTCTACAGGAAAAGTTTTCACATGTCACCTCTTTCTTCATCGCTTAAAGAAGAAAAAAATAATAATTATAGAGCCGGTGCCTAAGGCTTGTGGCTAGGTACATAACTCCTTTATATAAATGCCATTCTCTGGGACAGACAAGGTGTGCTTCAGGTAAATGGTGTAACTAAAATGACATCATTACAGGAGTCGCATCCTCAGAGATGACTTTCCTCTCAGGAAGAACATGAAACGGAGGGTAGTTAGGGTGAGTGAACACGACGCACTCACTGCCTGGAGGGAAGGAGGGAATCCTTTTCGGGGGACTCGGTTCCCTGGTCCATATATCAAGAAGTTTGCCCAAGTGCGTGTAACTCAGGGGACACCCCGATTCTGAACTAGAACCAGCCCGGGTCTGAATCGCCAAGTTGATCACTGCTCAAACCTTGATCCGGGAGCAACCGGGCTTCCGAAGTCCGGCTCGCGGAGAGGACCAAACCCACTTGGGGCATCCGATGCCCGTGAGAAGCAGAGAGGGGAAGCAGGATGCAAACCTTCCCCAAGATTGAGGAATAATCCTTTGATAGAGCACCTCTGAGGAACACGCAGAGCCCGGGCGCGAAGCTACGCGGAACGAGGACCGCGTCAGGCGCGCAGAACTGCACCTCCTCGCCGGCGTCGGTCCCGGCCTAGCCCGGGGCTGCCCTCGCGCAGGCGCAGTCGCGCAGCGCTCTTGCCCCAGCGCGCATGCTCCGCCGAGCTGCTGCGCTCCAGGCTCCCAGCGGCGGCGGAGGCTGCGGCGGCGGAGGAAGTTTCCGCTCTGCCCGCCACCCCGGTAGCAGCTTCGGGGCCGGGGACAGCTTCCTCCGGACGCTCCGCGGGCTTCGCTGCGGCCCCACGGCGGCCCGACGGGATCATGGGGTTGTCAAAGGGGCCGGAAGGCCAGGGTCTCCCGGAGGTAAGGAACCCCTCCTCCCTCCCTGACACGTCCGGGTTTCCGAGCGAGGGCCGAGCCTGCGGCGTCGCAGGCACCGGGGGATCCGGCAGCGTTTAGGGCTCCCCGCCTCCTTTCTCAGGTGTGTCCGCCTCCCCAAGCACCGGCCCTGTCCGCTGGGGGCCGACCTAGTTCCCCAGTGTGGACATGGGCGGAGACCAACTTCAAACGGTGCCGGGTCTCCTGGGACGGAGGGAGCCTTCCCGGGCCAATGCCTGCCCCGACGCTGCCCCAGGCGCCCTGGGGCCCGGGGTCCCACCTCTCTGGCTTCCTCCGGCAGTCTTCCCCCGACCCCCGGCGCCGCTCGGCTCGCCCCGAGGACCGAGGCTCCTGCGCCCAGTAGTCACGAGACGCGCGCTGGGACGGTCCGGGCTCGGGTTGTGCAAAGGGCGTTGACCTTGTGGCGCCTACCGCCGCCTCCCCGGGCCCACGGGGTCCTGGCGGCCGGCACCCGCCGCCGTGGTGTCGGAGGGGAAGGGGGCGGGGATTGCCTCCCTGCGTTTGTCCCCACGTCGGGCCAGGCTGGCTGGAGGAAGTTTGGGAGCCGGGCGCGCGCCAGGTCGTGTCCGGCCGGGTCAGCGCACCGCGGTGTCCGCGGTGGAGACGCGCTCTCCTTCCGTGCGGAGTGGCCGGGCGGAAACGTCGCTGCTTCTCCAGAAGGTAGAGCGCGTGCCTCTCCTTCCCAGAGGTGTTTGTTATTAAGTACTCAGTCGATCCCGAGGAACAGGGTGATCAGCGGTTTCTGGATTTGTACACACATTACCTGGAAGGAGAGGAAAAGTGCATTTCCTTTTGACTGCAAAGATCACTTAGCTAGACGGTTTGCATCAGTGCTCTGTTCCAGTTGATTTACTCAACAGCTAGTCTAGTTTACTAGATTCTTGAAAGAAATGGAGTCCATACTGCGCCTCTGTCCCTTTCCTAAGGTTCTGAAGCAGGTATTTGTCAGACAGACTGATTCCTTGACGTGGTGCCTGGTTCCTTCACATGTAACTGCCTGGGGCCAGTCTTGCTTCTTTGCCTTACTCCCCAAATGCTTAGTTCTTAAATCCTACTAGTACCATTTATTGAGGGATCACTGTTCTGTGCATAAAAGCTGGAAATGTAGTGATTGCAGAACAGACTTAATCTGTCAGTGTTTGCTCCCAGAATGCAAATCCATTTCATCATCTTCAGAAAGCCTAGCAAGTGTAATGTCAGAACCCTTCTGTTAGGTAACACTTGACATGCAAGTTGCTTTGATGGACCAGGGTTTGTGAAGACTAGAATCTGTTCTGTGATTTGATTTGATATTTCTTTTTTGCCTTTTTAAGTTCTAGGCTCTCATCAGGTTTTTTGCCTGGCACTTTGCTGTGGACTCTGTCTGGTCTCCCAGGTTCTAACTTAAATCCCTTCAGTTCTTTGCCCCAGTGTACCACCGGTAGGGTCTTTCTAGAAAAAAAAAACAACTTGCACCTCCTTTGTCCTTTGTTTAACCCTTCACTGTCAGGAGACTGGATCTAATTTGTCACTTTTCCAAGTTCCTGACAATTAGGAGGCAAACAGGATTCACTTAGCTCAAAGACTAGTATGTATGAATATGAATAGTATGTGTCATGAAGCTGTCACTAGTCCGGTTATTTCATTAAATGTAATTTTGTAAAAGCTTTTATGTATGTGAAGGAAAGAAAGATAGCTAGATGTGGCCCTGCCTTCCAGCTTACATGAACTATGGTCCAAGACAACTGACAGTTTAGTGTTCCTAGTTTAAGAGCTCACAGCATTCCTTTTTATTAGAATTTTAGTTTTAAGAGTTGGATGTATTACCCAGCCTGGAGATGTTTTATGGCTTCAAGCTAGAGTATTCTTTCATTCACTGCATATTAGCTAGTGACCTTTTTGCATTTTGTTTTAATGCTAACCTATGAAGTGGATTTGGTGTCTTAACATTCCCCATTCATTGTCTTGTGCAAGAAAATTACTTCACAAGGTGCATTGCAGAAGTACACTTCTCCATTCTGGGGGTGGGTGGATGGGAAGCGTGGGCCGTGCACTCGTCAAGGTGTGGGCAGTGGGTGCCCATTAGGTACAAGGTGCGGCAGGGAGGACGCTCCCGGGTTGTCCTGATGTATTGTCCTCTTCTTGGAAGGGTCTTCATGATACGTGATTGAACAAATGAAGGATTCCTTTTTTACATCCCAGGAGTTTTAAGAAAATACTTACATTATCCCATTTTCCTTTTCTGTTCTATTTTTGTGAACCATAGCTGTTCTTTATTTTCTCTTATTTGAATCTCTCGACTTGTAGATGGTTCTCAACCATCACAGACCTTTTGCAAGGAAGAGAAGGTGTGAATAATTAATATTTTTGCATGTCTTCTAGGAATTAGTGAATGCTAACCTTCAGAATCTTTGCTAGCCTGGACCAGTGTCATTTGAGAGGGAAGTGAAATGAGCAGGCTTTCCCTTCCATCACTGCCTGTTGCAGGAGATAAACAGTCTCTTTAATAATTCCATGTTCAATGATGTGTTAACATGTGTGCTCCTCCTGAAAGTTTGTACTTTAAAATAAACTTGACTTTCCATTATCAGTGTCATGATTGTGAAAACATGTTGTTAATACATGACTGGCTTAGGTCATGGAGCTTGTGTGATTGATGGTTAAGCATGTCATTCCATGTTTAATAAGTGTGTCCTTGGAGTCTAACGCTGTTCAGAACAGAGAGATAAACATGGGTGGCGAATAGATGGAATATATGCCACCCCCCACCCAACCAGCTAACAGTCTATTTGGAAAGACAGGCATGCCACTCAGAAGAAGTTGGTAATTGTATGAATGACAGACGATAAATAAAATAGAGATGCAAAGGAATGACCATTTTAAGCTGCAGAGATGACATTGAATGGGAGCTGGAGTTTGAAGGTGGTGTCTGGGTGGTTGGAGAATATCAGGAGAGTAGTGAAGGGATGAGAAGGGCTTGTTTAGGTTGGGCACCACTGTGTCTGGATTGTTTTGGTGGGAGGTAAAGGATGGAGCTGAAAAGATAGGTTGCAACCCAAGATATGAATGCAAAACCAAGACATTTGGAACTTATCTGGTAGTCAGTGAGTGATGCCTTAATGATGAGGGCTGGGTGCTAAACTAAAGAGGGGTGATGAGAGAGCTGTGATTTAGGAAGGAATGAGCAGGATAGACTAATAGGGAAGGAAGATTGAGAGGCAGTTGCCATTGTCCTGGCATGACATGCAAATAGAAGATAGCATAAATGTGAGTTGCATAATTAAGGAAGATTTAGCAGGCATTTTTAGCTAAAGGGAATAGTCAAAGGTGGATATGAGGCTATGAACCAGGACATCTTGACATTGTTTTCTATAGAGAGGCAGTTGTTTATTTTCTGCAATAATGGAAGACAGGAAAGGCACAGTTCAGTAAAGTGTATGGAGGCAAAAGTACTAGTCTATTTAGATGTATTGAACTTGGAGTTAACAGCCTGGAGTGAAGGTAGGATATAAATAAAGAATGTTTAAATCAAATCCCTATTTAAATGTATCAAGTAAATATTATTTTTAAGGCAGCCCTGTTACATGGTAGTAATCACCCTGTAATATGTCTTGTGTTGAAAGCCTTCCTTGTATTTGCTATAGAGATCAAAGAGCAGAGGGGGCCACATGATTGAATTCTTTGTTCTTGCCCCTCTTGTCGGTAACTTCTAGAACCAAGATGAGTGTAAAGTTCAAACAAAACAAACCACCTGTTCCATCTTAAAGGAGTTTATAATGCAGTTGAGAAAAGCTGCTATATAAGTCACGTGTTAGAGAACGGGGTGGTAAGTGTGCTGAAGTCTTCCTTTCCCTGGATTCCTTCAGCACCTGAACAGTCGATGCACCTGTGCATGTCTTCTCCCCCATCTGTGATGGTTAACCGCTTGTTGAGCAGGGACCTTGTTCTGTGCGACTCTGGCAGCACTGTGTCCCCCACGCCACTGCATGAACACAGTGATAATTGCCAGTATCATATGCTCCCTGGCAGTGAGTCCATGCTGTCAGGTAATATACCTGGTGTTCCTTTATTCAAGGTAGCTTTTACCAGCCTTTTGCTTTCGTTTTAGGTAGAAACAAGAGAAGATGAAGAGCAGAATGTCAAGTTGACTGAAATTCTGGAGCTCTTGGTTGCAGCTGGGTATTTCAGGGCAAGAATTAAGGGCTTATCACCTTTTGACAAGGTAAGAGGAAATCTTTCTAACCATTAGGGTAGACTTTGTCAGGATGTCATGGTTTACCATGGAAAGGAAGAAGAGATTGTATTTTTCTTTCTATATATCCATGTTGCATTTCTCCAGGATTCAGATTCACTATGGAAGTGTTTGTTTCCTATTAAAAGAAAATACTCATGTACCAGTAAAATACACCTTCAAGTCCTTTTGTGCACGAAGATTTGAGAAATGCAAATAAGCAAAATAAATAGTTTATCCTTTCAAGGAGCTTAAAGTTTGGGTGGGAAGATAAAGCTTGTAAGATAAAGTAATTTGAGTTAATAGGGAGCTATCCCAGGTTGATAAAGCTGATAAAGAATCTGCCTACAATGTGGGAGACTTGGGTTCGATCCCTGGGTTGGGAATATCCCCTGGAGAAGGGAATGGCTACCCACTCCAGTATTCTGGCCTGGAGAATTCCATGGACTGTAGAGTCCATGGGGTCACCAAGAGTTGGACACAGCTGAGCAACTTTCACTTTCACTTTCATCCCAAGTTGGGATGCTCACAGATAGTTGCCAGGTATTCTCTGGGCTCTGAATGCTAGGTTTGGAGAAGGAAGAAGTCGCTGTTGGATGAAGTCATTTAATCCGGCAGAACCTTGAACAGTTCTTACACTTGAGGAATAGAAGTAGGGTTGAGAGCACAAGGATAAGAACAAACACCTTGTACTCAAAGAGCCTGACTTCTGCAGGGTAGGGAAGACAGACAGCAAGCCAGTGCACATGGAATAACTGGCACAATTCATTAAGTGCCTCAATGAACTGAGCACAGAAGTGAGGCATCCAGATCAGCCGGGACATGCCGGGCAAGCTTCCTGGTAGAAGGAAGCATTGAGTTCCGCAGTGGGCCAAAGCCCTGTCTCCACGTAACAGGCTCTTTTTAAATACAGATGTGTAGGTCTCAGCCTCTGAAATTCTGGTTTGTTAGGTGTGGGCTGGGACTGGAATCTGTATTTTATTAGGCATCTCGCAGGAGTCTACAGTATAGCCAGGGATAAGATTCATTGTTGATCTTTTCTGAGATCAAGCTGTGTCTATGAAGGTTTTGTTTCAAAAGGATTTTTAGCCTTTGTCTCATTTGCATCTGAGAGAAGTCCCGTGGCAAAATAAGAGTACAGATTCTCATCTCCTTTAGGCAGAAGAAAAAATGGGATGTATGGAAATTAAGTAACAAGCCACAGAATGTCCCCCCGCTACCCACATATCTGGTCCATAAAACTCGTAATTCCTCTGCTGTTTTGCACTTGACTGTAACTGGATTAAGGCTTCTCTCAGCTGAGAGCTAATGTCCGTCCCCGTTGGTATAAGGAGAATCTATACATCGCACATCCATTTAGTCTTGGAAGGCAGCTTCTCAGTCCCCTAGCCACATGTTTCAAGTGCTCAGTAACCATGTGTGGCTGGCAGCACCATACTAAACGGTGTGGATCCGGACTGCTCCTGTCCTGGCAGAAAGCTTTATCCAGCAGTGCTATTTAGATGGGAGAAGCCAATGGCACCCCACTCCAGTACTCTTGCCTGGAAAATCCCATGGACGGAGGAGCCTGGTAGGCTGCAGTCCATGGGGTCGCTAAAAGTCACACAACTGTGCGACTTCACTTTCACTTTTCACTTTCACGCATTGGAGAAGGAAATGGCAACCCACTCCAGTGTTCTTGCCTGGAGAATCTCAGGGACGGGGGAGCCTGGTGGGCTGCCGTCTATGGGGTCGCACAGAGTCGGACACGACTGAAGAGACTTAGCAGCAGCAGCTGTTTAGATGAGTTGCAGCGGATGGAGCCAGGACACATATTGTCTGTCTCTGAGGATACACAATTTTGCATATAAAAACTGTTTCTATTTTATCTGCCTTACACGTCTTCCCTTCTTCCCAAACTAGGAAGAGAAAATAGGTTTTTTTTTATGTCTTGCAGGTGGTGGGAGGAATGACCTGGTGCATCACCACTTGCAACTTTGACGTGGATGTTGATTTACTCTTTCAGGAGAACTCTACAATAGGTCAGAAAATGTAAGTTATTGGGCTTTCCATGGATGAGCCTAACAGTGAGAAAGGAGATAAATCTTGAGCATTTGCTGTGTGCCAAAGGTTGTGTTAGATGCTTCACTCATGGACTAAAAGAAGCTAAGGTCACACAGCTAACACATGAGAGTCATCTAATATTATTATAATGTTAATAGGCTATTTCTGGTGTTATTTGTTGATCAAAATTTCTGTTGATTGCTTGAGTATCTCCTTCCAAAGGCACTGAATTTGGATGGAAGTTGGATAATTGAAGGGAGGGGATCTTTCCCTCCCTGTTGCTTCTGCATAAGGCAGAGCCTCACTTTGCCTGTGTCCTTGCCAAAGACATCCTGGAAGGGTGCCCTGGCTGATCTTCTGTAGCTCACCAGGGACTTGATAGTTCATGAGATCATTGGGATCCCAGTTTTGCCCAGCCCTGCCAGTGGGCAGCTGTGTGACCTTGGGCAAGCCTTCCTTTATGTATAGAAAGAGGGTTTGTGATCTCAGATCTATAGGAGTCTGTGATTTACTTACTCATTTTTCTGAAGCCTTGTCCTCCCCTAAATGGACTAAAGATGGTTTATGATGCATGGGAGAGCAGTAGTAGTGGAAAAGTGAAGCAAAGCAAAAGGGGTAAAAAAGGGAAGGAAAGGCAGAGTTGTGCGTAAGGAACACAACTGTGAGGAGCCAAAAGGCCCTGTTTTCCTAAGAATGGGACAAAGATTTGGCTGAAAAGAAGGAAAAAACACGAAAAGAAGAAAAAATAAATTATCCAATTTATACTTTCCATATAGTAGAAGAAAAACAAGTCCCTGGGAATCACCAAAACCCTTAACACTAAGACCAAAAGGCATTCTTGGCTCCCTGTTAAGGAGTTGATGCTGTTTGACACAGTAATGCTGTCATCAGTGCCCGGCCAGGAATAGTGGGCGCTGCATCCTGACACCTGTGTGTGCGGGGCTGTGGCATCATGTCCAGCCACCCACAGAGAGAAGTTTGCTTGGGAGGTGGGTGCAATGGAGTCCAGGTGTGTGGCTCTACTCCCAGTGATCCAGTTCAAGCCAGCAGGGGAGTGTAGTCCTGTTCTGTTATTAAGGTGTTACACACGTGAAGGTACAAGAAACATTTAGATACTACCAAAGGGAGCAAAACATGCAGCTGATGTCTCTCCCCTTTCCCATTTTACACCCTAGTTTTATTCCCTGGAGAGAGCCATCTTTGACTGTCTAGGTTTTATATTCTTCATCGTGGTCACTAATAGGTCTCCACCTTTGTATACACTGTTTCATTCAAATCCAAAGAGAGGAGGAAGTTGGCTCACCTGTACCACTCACTACATCCCCTTTGTCTTCCAACTTCCACTCTTTTAATTTTTATCTTTCTTTTCTATAATCGCTTGCATAATTTTGCTCTACTTAAGCTTTTATTTCTTGACCCATTAATATAAAGTAGTTTCTCCTGTTTATAGTCTGTTCTATAGTAGCAGTTAAGTTGTCCATGCTTTATCTACAGGTAGATTCTAAAAGTAAATCTATAAACAGTATTTGCAGTAAAGACTAAGACTTGTGATGGGGTCAGAAAAAGAACAGTAATTTTCTGGACTATAATGGTGCTGTTTAAAGGAGAATATTTGAAGTATTACAGTCAAAAGCAATCTCTTCATTTATTCATTGACTCAGCAAATTCATAATGTTCTGGATGCATTAATGAAAAATGTGCTACCCTCATGGAGCTTAGAGTCTATTGGAGGAGACAGACAAAAACTAATCTAATAAATAAGTACAGTATGTGTAGACATATGTGCTATGAAAAAAAACTAAACCCAGGAAAGGATATGAGGAGAGACGTAGGGTGGCAGGCAGCTGTGGTTTAAGTCTGTAAGCTTCACTGAGAAAGTGATGCTGGAGTTAAGACTTGAGGGATGAGGGTTCCAGGCAGAGGGGACTGCCAGTGTGAAGGCCCTCGCAGAAGCGGGCCTAGAGTGTAGTGTGGAGGGGGTGGGGCCGTGGGGAGGGGCAGCAGCAGACGGAAGTGCAGAGAGGTCATGGGACAGACCAGGTAGCGCCTTGTAGGTCAGGTTAAGGACTTGGGGTTTACTCTGCGTCAGGTGGGAAATCCATGGAGGGTGGCGTTGAGCAGGGGAAGAAGACAGTATGTTCTGTGTTTAAGAAGGAGCCCTCATCTGAATACTGAATTAAAGGAGTGAAGGTGCAATCAGGGAGCTTCTTTAGCGTGTTACAGTAATCTCCCCTGGACCAGTAATGGTGGCATTCTGGATCTGTTTGAAAGGTAGAACCAGCAGGATCTCATGGCATACTGGATTTAGTGTGTGAGTGAGAGGAGCGTGGAGGATGGCTGTGAAGTATTTGGCTCGAGCGAGTGGAGGTAGTCTCTGCAAGTCATTGAGAATCAAGCACTCTTCATTTTGCTTCATGTTTACAAAGCTTTTTTTCCCCTTTGCGTTTCTGATTGCCTTTTTCCCTTGTTGACAAAGAAGCATGTACTTTCACCTGTAGCTGAGATCAGCCAGCTTCTTAATCAGTCTGTTGACTAACATGAATTCTCTGCCTTCTAAAGTACACTCTTAGTTGAAGCCTCTTTCTGTTCCATTTTGAGCTGATTGCCTCTTACACGTGTGGCCCCTCTGATGTTCTGGGATATCTTTCTTTTGCATTCTTTGTGGACTGGGATTCTCAATCTGTATTTCTGAAATCTAAAAAACAGTGAAAATGTTGGTGGTTTTTTTTTTTTTCTTTCTTTCAAGTGTGGATATAAAATTTAATTGGAAGTAAAACATGACCTGACTGACTTTTATGGTCTTTATTGATCCCACTTATGTGAATATTCATAAGTTTTACTACAGAAATACTCATTTCTTTGATGATAGGGTGCTGCTGTGGATTTCAGTGGGTCTTACATAATACATAGTATATACCCCTTCATCTACTAAGGTGCAACATCTAAAGAATTGTGAGTTCTGAAGTACGTCTGCCCCCACAGGGTTTGGTTAAGGAGTTGAGGGTGTATTATTTTTCCTGGTAAGTACTTGATGTGAAAGCAAAGCTGGGGACAGGGTTTACTTGTAAAGACCCAGTAGACTCCTAGCAGATTGATCAGGCAGTTGAGTCTTTATTATCTGTAGGAGAAATGTCATAGCCACAGGGCACTGAATTATCCAAAAATCTTTTCTGTTTGGTTTTGGGATGTGTTCTGTGTTTGGGGTCCTCCCACGAAGTTTCTGGTTTGGTTCAGTTCAGTTCAGTCACTCAGTTGTGTCCGACTCTTTGTGACCCCATGGACTGCAGCATGCCACCCCTCCCTGTTCATCACCAACTCCCAGAGTTTGCTCAAACTCATGTCCATTGAGCCTGTGTTCTGTGTTTGGGGACCTCCCACGAAGTTTCTGGTTTGGTACAGCTCAGACTAATATTGCCGTGTGCTTGCAGTGCCTCTGTGCATCTCAGCTGATGCGAGGGGGCAGCACCATCTCTAAGGTACACACTTGCCTCATAGGGCATGCTTATCTTCCATTTGTGCTCCATTGGGGCACAGATAGGCCTCACTTGTGGATGGGCTTCCACTGGGGTCTCATCCTCTTTCTTGATCCTTCTTTCATATGGATTCCCTGAGCTTGCCCTCTGCATCCCCAGTCTGTCCTAAAGTCCTATCACCACAGAGTGCTATGTTCCAAGGTCCATAAATAAGATTTTAGGCTTATGGCCAAGTTCATTTCTACAACACACATCAACACATTTATTAGGCACCTGTGTACAGAGCCCTTGCACTTTATTATTTAACCTTCATAGCAACCCTTGAATAGGCAGGACAGAGATTATCTCTCATTTTATGATGGTAGTGTTGGACCAGAGGGACTGGTAGCTATTTTTGGTAGCTCGCCGAAAGTACCAGAGTGGGTGATGGAGCTTGGAATTTAGACCCTGGTTTAACTCACTCTCTTCCAAACTGTTTGCAGTGGAGGAGGAAACAGTGCATTGAACACTTAGAAAACTAAAGGAACCAAACTTACCTCCAGTAATGAAAAGTGTGTGTGTTAAAAGCATAGACTGGGAAACCTGTCTGGTGACCTCTGCAATTGTCATTTTCCCTGATTTTCAGAAAGTCAGAAGATCCACTCTGAGCTCCAGGGAAAAGCCCAATGGAGACTGGTAGGTTTCTGCAGGAAGTCTTCCTGACTTTTGCCCCCAAGCGGGCCTGTTTCTCCCACATCGCCACCCCTTTGCAGAAATAGTGCCTCTGCTTCTACAGGCTGCTGACGCTGCACACTTGGTCGTCATTCCTGGGAGGCAGGTTTAACAGGGTTGTAAACCACAAGATGACCCTGGGCATCCTTCCCTCAGGGCCTTTATGAACTGGGAGAGTGGGTCATCTCTGAGGAGTCGCCAGGGAGAACCTTGCCTGAAGGTGGAAGGTTGGCTGGATGATGTTAGTGTCCCAGCCCCTAATTTTTAAGCTTCTGAATGGTTATGTGCTATCAGTGACCCTCCCTGCATAGAGCCACCAATCTGTAGCCACTAGAGGGAGCGCTCCTCCTGCCAAACCAGAACGTGACTTGGCTAGGTGGTTCTGGAGTGAGTGAACTCTTAGGCCTGCCTGAGCAAGGACTGGAAGCTGGAGTGTGACCATCTTCACTTGCTAAGCTTGGAATCTGGGGAGCAGAGCCAATTAAGCACCCATCTCTTCCTCTCATCACAAATTTCAGAGAAATTAAGGAACAAGACATGGGAGTCTTACGGACATTAAACTAAAAAGTAAAACTTATCAGAGAGAGAGCTTTAGATAATGTTGCCAAATGGGTGTGTCGGTCTTTTATACCAAACTGTCCCATTTGGACCCCAGGAGGAGCTGGGCAACCACAGGCTTCCCTACTGGGACAGAGAAGATACTTGTGTCCTGAGGACTGGCTACTCAGAAAGGAGGGCCCACAGGGGCTCTGGAAGTCAGGTGACACTTTGCTTCCACGCCTCAGGCCTTTTGGATGAATCCCACCCCGCTTCTGTTCGCAGTGAACACGTCCTCCCGCATCCTCCCCTCCTAGAAGGTGGGTAGTCCTGCCTTCTGTGAGTGTGTGCAATAAGGGAGCAGACTTCTCCTCTCCACATGTTTTTCTCTTAACATCTTGGACTTGATGTTATGATTATGACTGTTTCCACTCAGCAGTTTTAAGCTTGGTCCCGCCTTGTGAAGCTACTGTAGATATAAACATGGTTGTGTAGTGTGTTCTCTGGGGAGCCTTCTCTGGGAGGCATTTGGCTTCTGTTCCAAGGTTATTTAGTTCCTACCAAGAGCGAGGGCATGAAACATGATAAGGGAAACTTAAGTTAGATATTTTCTTGTATCCAGGCCTGAGTTAGGTGTTGGTCCTATGGGTGTCTGTCTCCTGGAAAGGGTTGTAGAACTGCAAAAAGACAAAAGTGTACGAGATTTCTTTGCATAAGAGATACCTTTTGGTAGATAAGACCCAAAACTTGCTGTATTTGAAGCCTCTAGTAAGAACCTGCTGACCTTGTAACCATTGCCTTTATCTGTTACAAAATAGTCTGATACTTTTAGATGAGGCCACTCTGGCTGAAATTTTTTAAGGTCTTAGATGGGGATACCTAAACTGTCCATGTAGGCTGAGCCAGGAGCCCCCATTTCTCCATATGACCCCACAAGGCCACAGCTTGGACTATTTCTCAGAGTTCCTAGGCTACGTGCCATGGCTTTGTGGGTTAGCAAGCCCACTGAAAACCTCTGTTCTCTCTCCTCTTGAATCTGATCCAACTAAGATATAAGAAATAGAAATCAGACAATCGGCGATCAAATAGCAGCTGATCACAGATTTAAATCTGTGGTGAAACGAACTTGCACGCAAGTCCTTCTTTCACTCCTGCCATAAAACTGTCCCACCCGGGCCAGGGCTCAGCTGGGCATCCAGTGGGGGTGGGTGCTCACCTCCTGACTGAGGTCAGTTATGCTCTGGGCCTCAGAGAGCCTGTCTCCTTTCTCCTCCAGCCACTTCGGGGGAGGACCAAGCCAGGTGGAGGAGAGAGATCATGTCCCTTGTGAGAAGCTGAAAACTCCTCTTCTCTGGAGAAAGAGTGGTTCCTCCAAATCTAGAATTAATTTTAGAGTAGCAAAATTAAAGGCTATTGTTTATTTCAACAATATTTCTTAACAGAGTAGAAACTTCAGTTTTGGGGTTTTTTTTTTTTTCCCACACAAGCCTGAGACCTCATGTTTTGTCTTAATATTCTGGGCACCTGGCATAAAGTCTGGTAATTAATTTGTTGCGCGGATGATTTTTCAACTTCCCTGGTAGCTCAGACAGTAAAGAATCTGCCTGCAATGCATGAGACCCAAGTTCGACCCCTGGGTTAGGAAGATCCCTTGGAGAAGTGAATGGCAACCCACTCCAGTATTCTTGTCTGGAGGATTCCATGGACAGAGGAGCCTGGTGGGCTACAGTCTGTGGGGTCATGAAAGAGTCAGACACAACTGAGCAACTAAGCATGTGCGAATGATATTTAGAACATTTTTAAAAAATGTTTAACCTAGTGGTTTCCAGACTTTTGGAAAAAGAAAGACAACAAAGTGAAATGTAGAACATGCAGCACTAATAACTTTTTATTTTACCATGTAAGGATGTTTAAAAAAAATAGCTGCTACCTCAGACACCACCATAACTTCGTGAAGAAACAAAATATTTTCTTACAAAAAATAGGACGAACATGATCTTGGAATTAAGGGTGAATGCAATTTTCCTTATGTGGCCTTACATGCGCACAGTAAATTGTGCCTATTTTTCTCACTTTGCTGTCGGCCAGGAGAAGTGTGGTCCTGGTCTGGAACTGGGAAGCCCCGGATCCCTCTGGAACGCGGCCCAGACGGTAGAGATGTCTGAAGAGCCACGTAGTGTGTTCTCACTCTTGGCCTCTTGTTTTCCTCCGAGCAGAGCTCTGTCAGAAAAAATCGTCTCGGTCCTGCCAAGAATGAAATGTCCACACCAGCTGGAGCCCCACCAGATCCAGGGGATGGACTTTATTCACATATTTCCTGTTGTCCAGGTGAGCGCATCTGAGGGGTTTCTTGTCCTCTGAGCGTCGGCATATTCCTGTGACGGGTCTGGCTCCCGGGCTCTCGGGGCTGGATCCTGGATCTGATGGCCGTGGCGTGGATCTGGTGGCCACAGAACGTGAGTGCACTCCCCAGTGTTACCCTCGGAGTGTTGCCAGTGTTCACCTGCCTTCATCCCACTTAGTCGCTTGTTCTGATCTGTGACTGTTCCCCGCGAGCAGCTTCTCACTGCCCTTCTGGGGGGCCCCATGCCCTGGCGCCCTTCAGTCCCTCCAGCCCCAAGTTACTCTTTGCTTTTCTTTGTTCTTTATGTTCCAGCTCCTCTGGCTGTCTTTCCAGTTTCCTCCCACGTACTACTTTCCTGTCACAGGGACTTTCTCTCAGCCTAAGAAGCTCTTCCCTTCTCTTCTTTCTTTCACCCTTCACCTCTCAGTTCCAGGTCTCCTCAAGAAAGTTCTCCGACCCCCAGATCTGGAGCAGGTTCTTTTGCTATATTCTCTTATCCAGCATATTCCCTACCTTCACTGGGATCTTCCTTACCACATTTGTGACCACGTGCATCAAAGTGTCTGGTTATTTATCTGTCTCTCATGGGCAGGTATCAGGGCTGTCTTGCTCAGTCCTGTGTCTCTGGTGCCTCATGGAATGTCTGGCACTTTGTAGGCATTCAGTCCTTATTTGAAGACTGAATTTCTGACAAGAGACTTATCTCTACGCCGGCTTTTTTCTGAGGCCCCGTGATGAAGTGGCTCCTGCCACCAGTCCCTGTATTCTGTGTGTTTTTTGTGTCTCAGCCTTTCCTCCGGGTACCACGGGGAGAGGAGGAGGGAAAGGACTCACTTTGTTGCCTGCTATGTGGACAGGGCTTAGCCTCGGATCCTAATAGAGTTCCTTGAAGCGTCTGTTGTAATCCCAGTCTTATATTTGAGAAAAAGTGTGACTCATAGAGGTTAATCAGTTTGCTTAAGGGCAGAGAACTAGTGAGTGGAGAGGCAGATTCCTCTAAATTTTTCCCTGTCTTTAAGCCTGAACTTTCCCCCTCCACCACCTTGCAGCCACCCAGAGGAAAGCCACACAGCCCCTGCTGGAGAAGTTCAGTGATTCTGTGAAGGTTATGTAGTGTAGCGGTTAAGAGCTTGGACTCTGGAGACGTTCTGGGTTCAAATCTTGACTCTACCACTTTCCAGCTGTCTGATCTTGGGCAGATGTCTTAACTTCTTACCTGGTAAGTGGAAAATCATAATAGCACCTACCTGATGGAATGAAAGCTGAATAAGCTAATTCGGGTAAAGCACGTGGCTGAAGGGCTAGCACGTTGCACTAAGTGCTTTCTCTAAGTGTTACGTAGTTGTTTCTGTGGTCGTTACTACTGGGAATCTTCCCCTGAACTGATTTGTAAATGAAATTTGTACATTTGAGGCTAGTACTTTAACTCAGGATTTGACATGTATGTTCATTAGAGGATGGTACCCCCATCCTTTTGTGAAAATATGAAGTAGGAACCCTTTGGAAATTCTTACAGAAACCTCTAACGGTATCATATTGTGAAGTTGTTGGCTTTTCTGCCTCAACCTGGATCTCTTGTGACTAGACTTTACTCAACCCTGCGCTAGAACTTGGAGGACCAAAGTGATAGTCCACGTATGAGAAGGGTGTGAAGGTGATTTTCTACAGTTGGTTTGGGTATCCCGAGTATCTGATGGTCTGTGTTCCGAATGGAATGCCTGAGGGCTTCCTGTCTGGATGTGACAGCCTCAGCTAATGGTTACCAGCCATCTTAATTTTGTGGACCTGCAAAATTTTAAAGCAAAAATGGAGGTTGATCTATGGTTGCCACCTGTATTTTGGCAGGCAAGGACATTGTTAAAAGTAACAGTTATTTTGCTTTTTCTATCATTTCTTGAAAGAAAGGCCATTTAACCCTCACTCTGAGAATAAAGAACAGTCTTTCCCACTGAATACATTTAGTGCTGTGAGAAACTCACCACATGCCTGTGGTTTTGTTTCCTGTTTTGTTGGATGCCAGTGAAAGAACAGTTGTGGACCAGTCACTGGGACCCACTGGAGCATCTCTTGTGTGGGTCTGAGGTCCACCAGCCTAGTTCTTGCAGTTTAGCACAACTAGGGAGACTCTGAATGCAGCGGGACGGTGGAGCTGGCTTCAGGCTACTTAGTTCCAGGTCTCATGTTTTTCTGCTACATGGGGCGTGTGACTCTTGTGAAGGTAGATATTTTTCTCGAAGGCTAGGGGCCTGCGGCAGAGCTTGGCTATCCCAGAGGCTCCCTCCTCAGCTCTTCAGGTTGGGAACTCCGAGACAGAGCCATGGTGAGTCTGAGGCAATCTTGTGAATCAGTGGGTTTTGCCTTCCTCATCAGAGCATGTTCTCCAGGATCCCCCCAAGTAATAACTCAGTGTAGATCTAATTAACAGAGGCAGATTTGAAAAGGCAACAACTCTGAGAGGCCAGAAAGTGGATCTCCAGATGGGAAGGAAAGCAGAGTGAAGTTGAGTTGAGAATGAGTCAGCCTCCTGAGATGTCCAGGGTGCATGCTGGGGTGTGGGTGAGGGGCTGGAGTAGCCCCAAATATCACCTGATCCTCGGCCCCTGCACCCCTGGATTTTAGGCAGTGCCTGCGGTTACTGTTTGGAGTTGGGGTGGAGTGGAGTGATAGAAACAGATGGAGGGTTCTAGCAGCAAAAGAGTGCTCCTAGAGCTACTTGTGGCCACTGCTTCTGCAGGCAGCTGCTTCCTGGCGCGCCCTTTTCTTGAGTTGCCCGCCCTTCTGAGCAGGAGCCCTGTGCTGTGTGCGGCTGTGCCCTCTGGGGCAGCACAGCGACTACAGAAGCTGCCCCTGAGACGCAGCTCCCTGAAGAGAGCACGGCACCCCTCCACAGAGGTCTCCGCGCGCAGAGCCAGGACGGTGGGGAGAGGCTCTCTTTGTGCTCTGCACGCTCACGCTCAGAGGGCCTGGGCCTGCCACAGGGTGTGGGTGTGTGTTTCAGCTCCCTGGAGCTGTAGGTCAGCAGACGCGAAGAGCGGCTCCCTGCGCATGTCCGCTCTGTGGATCTGGGAAGCAATGCGTGCAGCCCAGACGTGCCGTGGCCTGGCGGTGGACCCTCCGGGTTGTGGCCAGCAGCTGCTGGCTGTGGATCACTGGACGGGTTGATGTCATCTCCCTGAGCGTCCAGTTCTGTAAAACGTGGTCAGTGCCGTTACCTCACAGTGTTCCATGGATGCTGAGCGCTAAGCTGCCCCTGAGGTCTGAGGCCTGTCCTTGGCACACCTGGTCTCACCTGAATGTCCGAGGTTCTTTCACCTATCAGACGAGGGTCCCGCTAGCTATCCTCACTGGTTCCCTTTCCTTCCTGTGGTCTGTGGCACAAGCAGCACACGACGGGGAGAGTTCTGTTAAGGTCTGCCGTTAGACGCAGGAGGCTTCGGCGAGCAGCTGTGTTTGTGTCGTGCTCCAGTATTTACAGAGCCATCTGCTACTTCTGTTTCATGTGCTCCCGCAGTCGCTCTGTGAGGTGAAAAGAAATGATATTCTGCCCCCCACTTTAGCAGAGAAGGAAACTGAGGCCTGGGCACCTGGAGCAAGGCTCCACGGTTCCTCTGAGGCTGTCGGCTCCAGTCCCCCTGGTCTCAGCATCCAGATGACCAGCTGCTGTCTTCCCTGCACTGCAGTGTGTTTTGATGGTTGCTTGAAACCTAGGTAGTTCGTGTTCTGTGATTCAGATTCAGGACCTGTGCCATCTCTGAGTTGGTTGTTACCCTTTACTTCACCGTGTTTCATCCCCATCAGCTCACATTTCTGCACTTTCTTCCCCAGTGGCTGGTGAAGCGAGCTATAGAAACAAAAGAAGAGATGGGTGACTACATCCGCTCCTACTCCATATCCCAGTTCCAGAAAACCTACAGTCTGCCTGAGGTCAGTGTTCTGCTCTTTTCTTGTCCAGCTGAGAACCTGAGCACACAGTTAGGGACCCCCTGGAAGGAGCAGAGTAAGCTCAGGCCCCCCTATGCTCCCCCCCACGGCATGGCGTCTCTGCGCCCAGCTGGTCAGCGCTGAACCTGGACCTCCTGGTTCATTTGAATTGCCCTTTGAATGGGCTCTGAGTGCCAAGCTCTATAATTTTGTCCTTTTCTCTCAATTTTGGTACTTGACCCAGACCTTTTATTAAATTACAAGAACATGAGCATGCTGCTGCTGCTGCTAAGTCGCTTCAGTCGTGTCCAACCCTGTGCGACCCTGTAGATGGCAGCCTACCAGGCTCCTCCATCCCTGGGATTCTCCAGGCAAGAACACTGGAGTGGGTTGCCATTGCCTTCTCCAATGCACAAAACTGCAAAGTGAAAATGAAGTCGCTCAGTCTGTCCAACTCTTTGCGACCCCATGGACTGCAGCCTACCAGGCTCCTCCGTCCATGGGATTCTCCAGGCAAGAGTACTAGAGGGGGTGCAGTTGCCTTCTCCGGAACATGAGCATATTTCTGTATAATTATATGAAGCTTTTCAAGAGACCATCTGCTTAGGATGACACACCTATAGTAGCAGTTGAATAATAATCACAGCAACAATAACTGCTGATTTCTGTCAGATACCTGCTACATTCCAGTCCCAGCACACTACATGCCTTCTGCTTCTTGATCCTCATGATTGCTCCCTGGCTTCCAAGTGGAGAAGCTGAGGCTTGGAGGCGAGGTAACTTGCTAAGGTCTCAGAACTCAGAGGGTTTGAACTGAGAACACTTGTCTTCGCCGCTACACTCTGCGGTCCCCTTTTTTCTTACCAGCTGCAGGGATCTGTTTTGGAGCCCTTGACAGAGGCCCTCCCTTTCCTCATGCTTAGTGTATTCCAATTTGTTAGAAAATTGAGACTTTTTCAGACAAAGCTGTGATGAGAAGCCAGTTTACAGGACAGATTGCTGAGCAATCTAACTGAGTTTCAGTCTTTACGCAGGATTTGTTTCATCCCTGTGTATTCTTGTCTTGCAGGATGATGACTTCATCAAGAGGAAAGAAAAGGCCATCAGGACAGTCGTTGACCTCTCTGTGAGTTCCCTGCTCGAGTTCTCCTGTCAGGGAAGATCATAGGGTCATAGCTTCCAAGTAGCCCTTTGATTTAAATCGCAGAAGCCTCTGCGCCCCGCGCCCCCCCCCCCCATTCCCGGAGGTTTCTGTCTGTGGGGATTGCCCAGCAGCTGACCTCAAGTGTGTGTGTGAGGGAGGCCCTGCCTGCCGCGCGCTCATGCCCACTCTCTTAATGCCTGCATTCGGGGTAGACCGTGCCTGCCGCGCATGCATGCCCGGTCTCTAATGCCAGCGTTCGGGGTAGACCGTGCCTGCCGCGCGCTCATGCCCGGTCTCTAATGCCTGCGTTCGGGGTAGACCGTGCCTGCCGCACGCTCATGCCCGGTCTCTAATGCCAGCGTTTGGGGTAGACCGTGCCTGCCGCGCGCTCATGCCCGGTCTCTAATGCCAGCGTTCGGGGTAGACCGTGCCTGCCGCGCGCTCATGCCCGGTCTCTAATGCCAGCGTTCGGGGTAGACCGTGCCTGCCGCGCGCTCATGCCCGGTCTCTAATGCCAGCGTTCGGGGTAGACCGTGCCTGCCGCGCGCGCATGCCCGGTCTCTAATGCCTGCGTTCGGGGTAGACCGTGCCTGCCGCGCGCTCATGCCCGGTCTCTAATGCCAGCGTTCGGGGTAGACCGTGCCTGCCGCGCGCTCATGCCCGGTCTCTAATGCCAGCGTTCGGGGTAGACCGTGCCTGCCGCGCGCGCATGCCCGGTCTCTAATGCCAGCGTTCGGGGTAGACCGTGCCTGCCGCGCGCGCATGCCCGGTCTCTAATGCCAGCGTTCGGGGTAGACCGTGCCTGCCGCGCGCGCATGCCCGGTCTCTAATGCCAGCGTTCGGGGTAGACCGTGCCTGCCGCGCGCGCATGCCCGGTCTCTAATGCCAGCGTTCGGGGTAGACCGTGCCTGCCGCGCGCGCATGCCCGGTCTCTAATGCCAGCGTTCGGGGTAGACCCTGCCACACCCACTGCCCTGTGTTTTCCTTAGTTCCAGTTTTCCAGACTCAGAGTCCTTCCTCATTTGTGCCAGTGCTGACCATAAATGTCAAGCTTCACACAGCTCCAGAGAGCGAATGACCAACTACAAGTGATACCGAGGTTATCACTGCCTTGGTGGCTGTGGAGCGGCAGCTCCTGAGCTCTGTGTGGGAAGCTCCGGGATGACCTTTGTCCGTGTGTGCGCATCAGCCGCAGGGTCTGTACCCACAGGCGCAGCGACCCCGCGCAGGGGCCAGAGGAGCGCTTCGGGCCTTCTCTAAGCACTCAGGGCCAGAGCCCAGCAGAACCCAGGCACTCCTCACCGCCCAGCCTTCCTGCATGAAAATGAAGCCTCAGTGCCTAGGTCTCAGTGCTCTTTCTTTAGAAAATAATGTATTATTTTGCCTTTTTTTTTTTTAACCTTTGAGAATAAATGTGTAATCTCCCCAGGCAATTACTCTGAAAAGAGGAACAATAGCTTGATGATGAAAGACATGAAATGCTCATTTAAAAGTCTTATCAGCTTATGGTTATAATTTGTATTTTCCACAATTCCATTTGGGAAATGTGAGGTATGGAAAACCTTTAAGTTACATTCTGAAGCTGGATGTGTTTTTCAGATTTGGTGGCTGTATTAAGTATTAATAATAATACACGATAGAACAGTAGAGTAATTTTTTTCCCCTGGTTGTGAGATAGATGTTCAGTTTAGAACATCTTTAAAGTTTTCTTTGGAAAAGTTGATCAATCAGAGGAAAAAAGGTCAACCTTAATCTAACAATATAGAAACAGCCACTTTTGGACATATTTCTTCTGTGTTTTTAATGTGTATTTTTATAGTGAATTAGAATTATACTTTGAATATAAATTAATAATTTTTCCCTACTCACCAGTAGAGCAATGTATGCTGTTAAAGATTTCTCCTGATCGCATTTTCATGACAAATAATAACCAGTTGGTTGGGTGTGCTATTGCTTTCCCTTGTTTTAAGTGATGCTTCATTTCTGGAAAGAACTGAGAATTAGATGACAGTGTTACCTCAGATACAGGGAGCTGGGGAGCCCGGAGCAGGAGAGGAAGGGAAATTCTCTTTTCCCCATGAACTCTGTCCTATTTGAGCTTTATACTAAATCTCTTACCACCTATTCAAAAACAGTGAAGTGAAAAATTTGTTGTTTAGTTACTAAGTCGTGTCTGACTCTTTGCAACCCCATGGATTGTAGCTCACCAGGCTCCTCTGTCCATCAGATTTTCCAGACAAGAATACTGGTGTGGGTTGTCATTTCTTTCTCCAGGGAATCTTCCTGACCCAGGGATCAAATCCACATCTCCTGCATTTGCAAGCAGATTCTTTACCACTGAGCCATCAGGGAAGCCCAGAAGTTAAAACAAAAACAAAAACAAAAAAACAGTTATTGTTTATTGAATATCTTCATGTGTAAATCTCATTGGAGCCCTGAAACATCACATTTTTTGACTGTGTCACCAAGAATAAAAAGGCCAGTGTAGCTGTTGGTTATCCTATCAATGAAACTGGGCCTGATGTCCCTTTACCTATTAAACATTTCAGTCCTCTAGAGATATATTATTTCCTCTTTTCCTTTGTAATGGAATTTTTAAAGAAAATTGTCTTCTGCTTAGCAATGTGACTTAAATTCTTAAAGGAATTTAAGGAGATAATGACAAATATGTAGTGTCCAAATGTTGTTCTAAGCATTTGTATATAACTTATCTAGTCCTCACAACAACCCTATGAAGTAATAGTATTTTTTTTTTTGACAGTTGAGGAAACTAAGGCACAGTTTGGTTATGTAGGTTGCCCAAGGTCACATTGGTGATGACGGAGCCAGGATGCAATAAAATGCTAGATAAAATGCTGTCGGCAGCTCTTTAGGAAATAATATCAAGATACAGGAAAATTGAGAAAAAATTGGAGGTCTTCTTTGATTAATAGTTCAAATTGCTTAGTTTATTTCCTTTTTTAAATGTGTGAACTTACTCGTCAGTTGACTGTCAATACATTTACTGTTGTTCAGTTCAGTTGCTCAGTCGTGTCCAACTCTTTGCACCTCCATGGACTGCAGCACGCCAGGCTTCTCTGTCCATCACCAACTCCTGGAGTTTATTCAAACTCGTGTCCATTGAGTCGGTTATACCATCCAACCATCTCATCCTCTGTTGTCCCCTTCTCCTCCTGCCTTCAATCTTTCCCACCATCAGGATCTTTTCAGATGAGTCGGTTCTTCACATCAGGTGGCCAAAGGATTGGAGCTTCAGCATCAGTTCTTCCAAAGAATATTAAGGACTGGTTTCCTTCAGGATGGACTGGTTGGATCTCCTTGCAGTCCAAGGGACTCTCAAGAGTCTCCTTCAGCACCACAGTTCAGAAGCATCAATTCTTCAGTGCTCAACTCTCACGTCTGTACACGACTACTGGAAAAACCATAGCTTTGACTAGACGGACCTTTGTTGGCAAAGTAATGTCTCTGCTTTTTAATATGCTGTCTAGGTTTGTCATAGCTTTTCTTCCAAGAAGCAAGTATCTTTTAATTTTATGGCTACAGTCACCATCTGCAGTGATTTTGGAGCCCCCAAAAATAAAGTCTGTCACTGTTTCCATTGTTTTCCCATCTATTTGCCATGAAGTGATGGGACTGGATGCAGTGATCTTAGTTTTCTGAATGTTGAGTTTTAAGCCAACTTTTTCACTCACCTCTTTCACTTTCTTCAAGAGGCTCTTTAGTTCTTGGCTTTCTGCCATAAGTATGGGGTCATCTGCATATCTGAGGTTATTGATATTTCTCCCAGCAATCTTGATTCCAGCTTGTGCTTCCTCCAGCCAAGCGTTTCTCATGATTTACTCTGCATATAAGTTAAACAAGCAAGGTGATAATATACAGCCTTGGCATACTCCTTTCCTGATTTGGAACCAGTCAGTTGTTCATTGTCCAGTTCTAACTGTTGCTTCTTCACCTGCATACAGATTTCTCAGGAGGCAGGTAATGTGGTCTGGTATTCCCATCTCTTTAAGAATTATCCACAGTTTGTTGTAATCCACACAGTCAAAGATTTTGGTGTAGTCAATAAAGCAGAAGTAGATGGTTTTTCTGGAAGTCTCTTGCTTTTTCAGTTGGCAATTTGATCTCAGGATCCTCTGCCTTTTCTAAATCCAACTTGAACATCTTCAGGTTCTCAGTTCATGTACTATTGAAGCCTAGCTTGAAGAATTTTGAGCATTACTTTGCTAGTGTGTGAGATGAGTGCAATTGTGCAGTAGTTTGAACATTCTTTGGGATTGCCTTTCTTTGGGATTGGAATGAAAACTGACCTGTTCCAGTCCTGTGGCCACTACTGAGTTTTCCAAATTTGCTGGCATGTTGAGTGCAGCACCTTCACAGCATCATCTTTTAGGATTTGAAATAGCTCAACTGGAATTCCATCACCTCCTCTAGTTATGTTCATAGTGATGTTTCCTAAGACCCACTTGACTTTGCATTCCAGGATGTCTGGCTCTAGGTGAGTGATCACACCATCATGGTTATCTGGGTCATGAAGATCTTTTTTGTGTAGTTCTTCTGTGTATTCTTGCCACCTCTTCTTAATATCTTCTGTTTCTGTTAGATCCATACCATTTCTGTCCTTTATTGTGCTCATCTTTTCATGAGATGTTACCTTGGTTTCTCTAATTTTCTTGAAGAGATCTCTAGTCTTTCCCATTCTATTTGTTTCGTCTATTTCTTTGCACTGATCACTGAGGAAGGCTTTCTTATCTCTCCTTGCTATTCTTTGGAACTCTGCATTCAAATGGGTATATCTTGCCTTTTCTCCTTTGCCTTTCACTTCTCTTCTTTTCAAAGATATTTGCAAGGCCTCCTCAGAGAACCATTTTGTGTTTTTGCATTTCTTTTTCTTGATCCTAGCCTCCTGTACAATGTCATGAACCTCTGTCCATAGTTCTTAAGGCACTCTGTTTATCAGATCTAATCCCTTGAATCTATTTGTC